AAGCCGCTACTTTATAGTAGAAGCGACAACGCCGCTTCGTCTAAAATATTTTAGGCGTGTAGGTCATATTGACTTATGCATACTGTGGAATTTTCAGGTTGATACGTTGAATAGTTTGCCAGAAACGGCTAATTAACGCTCATCATGAAAAGCCCTGTATAGTTGAATTATATGATTGAATAAGGTAAAAGTTTATTTTGACCCCTAAATGAGTGAAGCATCTTGGTGGGATTGATTTTCAAGCCTTGCACATGGTCAAAGCAATAATTGAGCAGTCGAGTGTTTATCTTTGTAATGCTAGTGTTTCACAAAGAAGCGAATATCAAATATTTGTATGGAGAAAAGAGAATTGAAACTTTTTATGTTTTTACCACTTTTATTTGTAACTAACGTTACTGTAATTTGGTCATATAATGACATTTTCAAACTTATACATTAAACTAGTTTAACTAACATTGTAACATCTGCGCAGCTTAGATTGTTCCACAACATTTATCGGTAATCCACTCAACACTGAAATGATATTGTGTAAAGAAGATCCCAATGGATACTTTAGGGTGACTGTAAATTTCTGGATTGGTTGTTAGATAAATATATACAGAAGACTAACATATTCTCCGTCACGGTCAGGAATCTTGATTGGCTCATATATAATCTGAGTGAGTCCGCTGCTCATTGCAAAAGCTTCAGCTTCGCGACTTTGTACATTGATATTTGAAAATTCCGTTTGTATCCCAAACCTTTGTAATGGAATTGAATCAGATATTATTCACAATATTCCTAAACAATATAAATAATGAAAGCAAATTTCACTTACATGGAACACTGTTATCCTCACTGGTAGACATCTTTATGTTTGGACATAAGACAATTGCCTTGTTAGCTCTTCAGTACCATATACGGATAACATTATAATGTAATGTATAGTGAAGGGTTATATCCCTCGTGCACCAAGTTGAAGCAATTGTTAAACATTTTGTTAAACACAAGACATGAAAGTATACAGGGTGTTCCTTAAACACATGCTAATATTTGAGGAGGTAATTCTTAGACACATTTTAACGAAAAAACGTCCTATGGACGTATGTCCTAAACGCCTTAACTTTTGAGATACAGGGTGGCAAAGTTTTCTAATAGTTTGCCAGAAACGGCTAATTAACGCTCATCATGAAAAGCCCTGTACAGTCTACCATGTTTACATATGGTATGTTTCTTTGGCGACTCTAGAAGAACAGAAGATATTGCTTCATGATCCGATAACCCGGATGGGATAACTGTGCACGACTCTATCTGCTCTTCTAGATTGCTACATACATAGTCAATAAGAGATGCAGAGAATCAAGAAATACGAGTATCTGCATATGTTTCCAGAGACTGGTTGAACGGCAATAGGCTGGTTTGGCAGTCGATGGATGTAGGTAAGTTTAAAAGCATTGTATGTGTAACTACCTGTAGAGCTTCTATTTAACTAATGTAAGGTAGACGTGCGTGCAGACCCACCTGCTCAGCTACACATTTCATCATATTACCTGCTTTTTGGCATTTGTTGTCGGTGTAGTTTCTGTTTTTCCAGTGGATACATTTCCAAGTATTTATTATAAGTTATTTCTGTTGTAATTGAATTTTTTTTACTTCAATATTTTTGCACAAGATTTTATTTTATAACATCGAAATGTGAATATATAATGACGAAATCAATCTATTTACGATAATTATTATTGTCAAATTTGGTTTATTATGATTTGAACAGTAAAACTTGTTTTACTGTTGTTTTTAGAGATTTTCTAGGACGATAAATGTCGAATCGTAATTACGATACGTGACACATTTCAATTTGCTAACACCTCATAAATATAAACAAAAAAAAAAAAAAAGAAAAAAAAAGAAAATAGTATTTTCTTAAATTGCTATATTCAGCCTTCACAACTTTTTTTGAGGAATTACATTCTTTTTATGAGTTCCTTCATATTTGTTCAATGAAATACTTGCAGTTTAATCCAAAAATAACTGTTTTTAATGGTTGACAAAATTACTGTTGGAAAGTAATGATTTGAAAACATTATCAGCATCATTCAGAAGGATGAAAGCAGAAATCATTATTTTTGTCATCTTTAAAGAAGCGTGACGTTTTGTTTGATTTTGTGAACAAATTTGATTCGTTGATTTATTTGATTGAATGAGGTAAGAGTTTATTTTGACCCCTAAATAAGTGAAGCATCTTGGTGGGATTGATTTTCAAGCTTTGCACATGGCCAAAGCAATAATTAAGCAGTCGAGTGTTTATCTTTGTAATGCTAGTGAAAGAAGCGAATATCAAATATTTGTATGAAGAGAAGAGAATTGAAACTGTTTGTTTCTACCACTTTTATTACCTAACGTTACTGCAATTTGGTCCTATAACGACTTTCAAACTTATACACTAAACCAGTTTAACTAACATTGTAACGTCTGCGCAGCTTAGATTGATCCCCAACATTCATCGGCAATCCACTCAACACTGAAATGATATTGTGTAAAGAAGATCCCAATGGATACTTTACGGTGACTGTAAATTTCTGGATTGGTTGTTAGATAAATATATACAGAACACTAGCATATTCTCCGTCACGGTCAGGAATCTTGGTTGGCTAATATATAATCAGAGTGAGTCCGTTACTCATTGCAAAAGCTTCAGCTTCGCGACTTTGTACGTCGTTGATATTCGATATCCCTCGCGCACCAAGTTGAAGCAATTAAAACATGTGCAAATCATAGTTTATTAAGCACAGGACATGAGTATATAATATTTTGATAAAATTCTTGGATCGACGGTTTTGAGATTTAATTTCGAATTATTACATAAGAAAGCTTTTGCTTGAAGCAAATTTTTGAATTATGGCATTATGCACATTTTTATCGATTGAGTTCGTTAGGCGAAAGGTAAATTTGAGATTGTTTCCAGAAAAATTAAATGAAAACTTAAACTGGAAGACCTTTCAATACAAAATATGAGTACGTGTTATGTTCATTTTAATCGAATAAAAAGGTATAGGGCATCATTTCAATCACTATGAAACACTGCCTAGACTGACTCATCGTTTTTATGCATTGAGAGAAATTACAAATGAACTTTCTTAGTGGCATCAAAATAAGTATAATACATACGTGCTGGAAGATGTGAATGACGATGTGTCATCTCTTTCAGTAGTCTTCTTTTTTCTGAAACCCACCATTGTCACTCACTAAATACTACGCACACTCTCCTCGATTCACATCAGAAAAAAAAACGAATCAATGCGAGTCCGTCTACATGTCTTTCAAAACTATGGAAATTGTGCACAGATTTAAACCAAACATTCAACCCAATATGCAATGAACAAATAGTCAGCAAGATGAAAACGGTCGGAGTATTCTGCTGACGAATGTGCTTTATCTTGAATTATCTTTCTGAGGATTATTACAGATAATAAAAGATCGAGTGCACCTGTTTAGTGTTACCGAAATTATGTTGTATAATACTTTGCGGCATGAGCGCACGTATAATCGGTCAGTTTGGGGGAGAAAAAAGAATAATATACAGGGTGTCCATTTGAGAACTTTCTCCTTCCCTGAATATCTTCCTTTCAAGAAATAGTATCGAAAATAAGCAAAATACATCAATATCATTGTCAAGCGAACACCAGAAGCAATGTTTTTGCCATTGCCGTCCACACTCTCACAAGAGGTAGCCTAAAAATCTTAAATGAAATGCTCATCATTTTGGAACGCTTATAAATTTTTTTCCAATGGTAGGCTACTTGATCAGTTTAGATAAATACGAGGAATTATTAACTATGGACGCTAACAAAATTTGAAAGTTAAACTGTTCACAATACACTCTTCCTTTAATAATCTGAATAAACATATTGATATCTGCAAACCAGGAACGGGGTGTTCATACATCTAGGGGAAATCTGTATCAGATTTAAAAGGATTTAAGGATATCAAAGACTCGAGATTGAGATTTAAGGGATTACAGAGACAACATAATTTCAGTATTCAAACACCAATCTCTCACATAAATTGAAGTGTTCGAAAATAAAAAAAGATGCGATTATATGACAAATACCTAGCAACATTCCTTCAAAAATTTTGCAGTTACTCAATCAACGAAAGTTCGAAATGAAATATATTCTATATGAATAAAATGTAATGAAAAATTAAATTGACATTTGACATATTATTCCTGAATTAACATTTTTATAAGATTTTTCTGTTGATATGAATGATCCATAAGTTCCTCGTTCATGCATGAGGGCGACAAAAGTCAAAACCCTATATTTAAATCTTCAATCTTCAACCTTCTAACCTTTAAAACATCGGACGTTCTGTCTGTTGAAAGTATGCTTTTCCATAAACCAGCTGTCACCCCCTCAACGAACGACAACTAAACTTGTGCAAGCTAAAGATTTAAGAGGTCTCACCTTTTAACGTGCGATTCCTAGCACGGGTTTGACGGTAGGCAGTGAAAATCCATAGTCCCGCCTAACGGCTCGAACTACTGTTCCACCTGACGGTTGACCGGCTACCGCCTCACAATGTATCACTACATTACCTACTTATTGATGTAAATTTTATTGATTTTTTCCTTTCAATTTTGTTTAAAGAAGACTCAGTTTAATAATTTCTATTCAAATAATAAACTGAAAACCATTATTCTTGGTGATGTAGTAATTCAATAGTCATTATGTATAGCCGACTTTCATATTTGTGTAAATGAATATAATAAGATTCAAGTGAAATAACAGATATTTGAATATTTGTGAATAATAGAATCTAGAGGTTGTCCACCTCATAGTTATCCAAAATTGATAACTGGCATAAAAATGGTGCAATGGTGCAATGTTGTTAGTTCCAATAATTAGTTTTGAAAAAAAAGAACAATAATTGAGTTGAAGAAATTATTACGCTTTCTCTAAATTATAAATATATCAAAACTATCGTGTCAAGTTTTTTGAGTTGTATATATACACGAAAAAAACAGTTTTTGATGTGATAACTTCATTTGGGAGGTAAACCGCTTGGTAACGAAACGCATAACGTGTGGCTCACACCTATTCACAGTCGACCAAATAAACCCAGCTTCTTACCGAAGCCGATTAGTTTGTATGGTGAGTGGTCCTTCAGGTAAGATGGTACTGCTCTGCTGAACTCTAAAAGCCTGATTCTGTCCCCAACAGGGCAGGCACGAAGTATGTGCTGTGCTGTTTCATGGTTAATAAGGTAGTCGGATAGTCAAGGTGCAAAATTCCCACCTTGATACCCTAGACATCCTTCCCATATGAGGGTTTTTGCACGTCAGCTACACCTGACGATGCCTGAGATTCAACCGTGCAGAGCTTTTTGGTCTTCGGCTTTGGTGAATCATCACTTGAGCGCAAACGTTTGCTAACCTGCTCGTGGGGGGTTTGTTCCTCCACCTGAGACAGATTCTGCGTACGTCGTAGGCGGTTTTATGAGGTAATCTTTCCTTACATCATCATATTAATTAATACACATATATACTTTTTATTACTGTTTTGGAAATTATTATAATGTCCATGAAAACATATAAATGAAAAAAATAAGCATTGACAACGATTTTTTTTTAATTTTTGCTTTGTGTTGGTTTATACTAGGAATTAAAAAAAATAAGGTAACGTATGAATGTTTACAGAAAAAAAATCATTGTATAAATGCTGAGTTAGCTCAGTTTTATCTGGGAATGAGGGTGTCGGTGTTGCAAAATCAATAAATACATTCTAGTCGTTATGATTATGGAGACATTTTGTATTTATTCAAATTATCTGCAGATAAAGCACATAATAAACTTCAGCTAAGCTGGATCAAATCACAAACACGCTACCGCTTTTGATAAAGACGTGAAGAGTAAATAATATATCATATTCTTTTGCAGAAAATGTCGATCTGGCAAACTGCAGTTTTGTTGATCTCGACAAGAGTTTCATTTTGTGTCTGTCTCGGCGGTTTGTTGAAAAACCACTGCCTACTGCTATTTTCCTTACGAACGTTAATTGTTTCAACGATAGAAAGTTAAAAAAATGTATAAAGTCACTTTTGATGATTTCGACAAGAAATTCAGATTTTTGCAAATTTTTTATTTGATATAAAACCATTATTTCGTTAAGTGAAAGGACATATTCCTGATGAAGTAAGTAATTGCTTCATTGGAGAAAATTAACTTCGCTCTTTATTTTCCAACATTTTCATCATAGATGTACTGTATGTGGAAAATAATAAATACGTATTATTATTATTATATTGAAGTCACCCAGTAGAAAACAAAAATATCTACGAATAATGATTTATATGTGAAACCGAAAATGATAAGCTGAAGGACGTTAACTGCCTCTTTCATGACATAGTATTAATGATTAGAACTATTCTTCGATAAGTATTTTAGCTAGAGTTCAGTATTGAATACAGGTAGATTTTATAAAAATTCAAATGAATTTCTTCGAATGTGCCAAAGAAGAAGTATGCGCCTCAAAACATTTACCAGTTTCATTAACAAATATTCTATCACATATAGCTAAGTGAATAATGATGCTTGGGCATTTGTTCAGAGTAACCAGTCAGAAGAAAGGAATCTTGATTTCGAAGTAGATATTAGCAAGCGATAAAAAAAAGGCGAGTTGACTGTCCTTGTTCATCTTTCACTGCCTGAACCACTGTGCATGCTGTTTTTGGCGAGTGCATTGGCTTGGGATGTGGGGGTTGAGCAAACCGGCCATCGAATGCCTGCTTCCACGTAGCCCCGCTGGATACGGGAATGACAGAAACACTTGTGGTTCTGTTATTCGCTAACTTAATGATATCTCAAAGATGGTTCAATCCTAAGGTGTGTGTATCCGTGCCGAGAGGATTAATGACACTGAACCTCTCAACTGTCTCTGCGGAATCTTCGAGATACCGGGCGCCCTCTCGTCGTAGCATCGCCTTGTCACGGAATAGCGGGGCTCTGTCGTGATTGACCTTCCTTCCCCTAGCTACTAGTGGAACTTTTATGGACAGAGTAAACTCAAAAGATTCTTTCTGACGGTGAGTCTACATAGGAGATGGATGTCGAGCTTTCGACTTCAACTGACCTCCCTGTAAATTTAGATCGGGAGCGAGTCTACAGATGAGATGGATGTCGAGTTTACGACGACTCCAACTGACCTCCCTGGAGGAGCGAGAGCTTCTCAACTCCCCAACTCCTTATCCAATAATTGAAGCTAAGGTTTGGTGGTGCAGTCAGGAAACGACTGAGTCGTCTCTTCAACAGCGGGGTATCGTATAAAACTGCCAAGAAATTCTTGAGCGGCGTACGCAGAATCTGCCTCAGGTGGAGAAACAAACCCCTCATGAGCAAACGTTTGTGTTCAAGTGATGATTCACAAAAACCAGAGGCGAAAAAGCCTTGCATGGTTGAATCTAAGGCATTGTCAGGTGTAGCTGACGTGCAAAAACCCTCATATGGGGAGGTTGTCGCGGATACCAAAGTGGAAATCTTGCACCTTGACTATCCGACTATGTCATTAATGATGAAACAGCAGAGCATCGTGTAAATCTTCCAAATTATATTTAAGGAACTTCTGGGCATCTTGCTGCACGAATCGAGGAGCAAATTTTTTTGTTTGACTCTTTGAAAAAACTGTGTTCACCACTTTGTCTGATGGATCTACTCACCACAGTTCCTCGATCATTTCTGCAAATAACCTTGGATAATATGGATAACACGGTTTGTCTCTCAATTTACTGGTGTTTCATTCTTATACATAATCCTTCTTCCTGGGTTAGTGTGAACCAAAAAAACAATCCAATACTCCTTTGATCTACATCATCAATTCAACTTTTGACAGAGCCCATCGGGAACAATGACTTTAATGGTCAAAACGCGTTAGATTGATTAATGGATTAATCAAATGACCTTGAATGCATTCGACAGTTTGAAAATTTCTTCATATAAACAAGTAATGATTATTTGGCGGCTGATTGACTGGAATGATGATAGATATTATGAGTTTCGAGTGTTATTGAAATCGACATTTGTATTTAATCATAGCTGAGATACGATGTGAAGGTTGAGATATCGCGTGAGGTCGTTCAATGGATTTTTATACAAATTTTCACGAGATCCTGTGAAATCTGTACAGGGTGAGTTTCTGATCGGGTATTAGAGCTAACGATAGAGTTTGAATTCGCCGAATATAGGTCATATGATGGTTGGCAAATGAACCAAAGTAGTTTAGACAATTACGAATGATCATCGACATTTTTATCAAATGATGTAATCGTCATCTCTATATATCATTTTTTCAAACACATTTTTTCGTCATTTAATTATTGGGTGAATCATTGT